ATTTGTGAATGAAATATTAATTTCCACAAAGGGAGTCAAAGGGGAGGCAATCCATTCTTAAGGCTAAGCCTCACATCCAGCAGTAGACAGCCAACAGAAACTCAAGGCATCTTTGGAGCACTTTGTCTCATGGTGTTGAGTCAGAGCATTTTATTTCCTATCCTACAGGTCCTTAACATATAATATGGCTTCTGGTTTTGTATTTTATGGGATTCCTGTGTACATAAACATGTGTATTTCTGCAGTTTGTTCTAGGGGTGTTTCATCCTGAGCTGGTGATAGGAAAGGCAGCTACTTATCACCCTAAAAGCAAGCTGCTTTATTTCTCATCTCCAGCCAGCAGGCCTCATAGATACAGACCACAGATCAAGGCAGAAAGTCATCCCAGAGCTCACTCCAGCCCCACTACTACAGGCCCTCTTGGGACACTGAATCTAGTTAGTGTCTACAAGGATCAACCCTGTACTCCTTCAGGAATTACCTGGGCTCGAACATTCACTCAGACCATGCAAGACTTTAACAGAAATTTGTACATGGAATGCTGCCAGTAACATGCATGTGTATGTTCTCTTCTACAACATGGGATAAAAAAGAACCTCCAATAAAAGAAACATGAAAGTGGCCCTCTGCAGGGTTAATCATCTGAGGATTAAAATATGGAAAATTCTTAGATGATAGAAGAGAAAATAAGGCAGATAAAAATAGAGAAAAATTCTATGAAAACAAATGTCAGATTAGGAAACTAAAGTGGATGGAAATAAAATTGGTCAAGTATGTAGTTTCAAAGAAATATTCATTGTTAGAACAGATCTTCAAAACAATCCGTTGGAAAGCTTCTCCAAGTATTGAGGAAAAAAGACAAGCCACAAAATAACAAGAAAAATTAAAACAAAAAGCAACAAAAATGAAGTGAACAGAGATACCCATATTGCTGATAGAACACCTAGGTTTTAAGTCCCTTTTTTTCTTTTAAAAAACTATTTAATTATGTATATAGTGTTCTGTATACATACAGGTCAGGAGAGGGCACCAGATCTTATTACAGTTGGTTGTGAGCCACCATGTGGTTACCTGGGAATTGAACTTAGGTCCTCTGAAAAAACAAATGTATATGTACTTGTATAAACAAGTATAAAAATATTTGTTTTAAGTGTGCCTTCTAGGCCACTCAAGAGAATAAAAGTATGCAATATTGGTGGATATTTTGATGAGAAAAAAAAACATTTTCTAATTTCTAAAGATAATGTCATAAAGCCATAATTCTGCATCAAACGTCCATTTAAGTTCAAAAAGATATAATTTGTCCTTAAAAACTGAGAAATTTCAGCAACTCCATATCTTAAATTATATTTTTTAAAGGAAGAATGGAAATGGACAAGATAATACTCAGAAAAAAACATACAAGATAAAAGATTCAGTGGAGCTATGCACGTAGTTTAAATGCAGCAAGTCTATTTGTGGTAGTAGCCACAAAGATACAAACTCCATTTTCCAGTCAAACAAGAAGATTGCCTCTATAATAAATAATATTTCCATAAATGAGCTAATAAAAATTGCTTAGTGGGTGAAGGTGCATGCCTGGAACACAACCCGATGACCTGTGCTCCATCCTCGAAACCTGCAGGATACAGGAAGAGAAGAAAGTCCTGCAAGTTGTCCCCTGATCTCCACAGGCACACTGTGCCTTTAAGAAATATGTGCATAGGGGCTAGAAAGAAGACAGATGACAAGATAATCAAGACTGTGCACTGCTGTTGTAGAGGAGCCGAGTTTTGTTCCTCAGCAGAGGCTGACAAGTGCCTGCAACTCCAGCTCCAGGGGATCCAATGCCTCTGACATTTGCACTCACATGCACATTTCCATATACCACACCCCCCCCCACACACACACACCACACACACACATACCATGCACACACACCATGCACAGATTATAAAAAAAATCTGAACACTATATACTGGTTTTTCACTTTTAACTCACTCTGGAAACAAAGCACAAGAATCATCACAAAATCCTTCAAAACATCCTAGACCTTGATTTACTGTAGAGAGAGCAACCAAATCGAGAGGATTGTTAAAGGACCCTAAAAGCAAAGGGAGGAAGGATGCTAAGTGCCTTCTCCTCCACAAAGTAGAGACAGTATCTAAAGATAATGTATCAAAATCAATTTCTAAAACTAAGTTGTTGGTAGCTGTCTTCCTGAAAAGGATTATATCATCAAGTCAGTAAGCACTCTAAAAGACAGTCTGTTTCCTAAAATTGACCCAGCTAATAAACGGGGGCGGGGGGGGGATAAGTAGTGTGCCTCCATTTTATAACTCCCGGGCAGGAACAGATCCTGATAACAGTAGAACACATATAGAGGCCAATGTCTTCTCACAGACGGATGTGAGTAACCTATTCTCCCTTTCTCCCCCAGAAAGCCAACCCAGAATTTGATCAGAACTCTAGCCATAATGACAATTTACAGGTCATGAAGAGAACAGAGACATATTAATGACACAACAAGAATTGGATGTGTCTCCAGGACGCTACACATATAACTCCAGTCCTATAAATTATAGTGGGAGAGAAGAAATTCAAAAGGCATATCATCTAAATTCAGCATTGTCACGATTATATTTGTATTATGCTTGGAGAAATCTTGAATAAAATAATAAGAGGAAAAAAGTGGGGGAGAATGAGGAGAAGAGAGAAAGGGAGGGGAGAGGAAGAGATGCAGAAAAGTAAAAGAAATCATGAGTATTGGAACAGAATGTTGGAGCTGCTGACAGAAGAGGTGTGGAGAGCCAGATGATGGTGGTGCAGACCTTTTAACCTCAGTCCTTAGCCTCAAGAGGCAGAGGCAAAAGAATCTCTGTGAGTTCAAGGCTCTCCTGGACTACAGAACAAGTTCCAGGATTGTTTTCAAAGCTGCAAAGAGAAACCATGTCTCAAAACACCAAAAAGCAAAGCAAAACAAACAAACAAACAACAACAACAACAAAACTGCCTGGAGAAGAACTGATTCACCCCCGGTGGGTCAGATTTTAAGATGTCACCAAGCCTCTGCCACTTTGCTACACTGCCTTGCAGAACTAACTTCCTTCCTTCCTTCCTTCCTTCCTTCCTTCCTTCCTTCCTTCCTTCCTTCCTTCCTTCCTTCCTTCCCGTTGAGCACTCTTCTTCTTCTTGTTGCTGTTTTTCTGTTTGTTTGTGTTGGTTTATTTTTGTATTTCGAGAAATGTTTCTGTGTACCTGGAAGTAGCTCTTGTAGACCAGGCTGGCCTCAAACTCAGGGAGATCCTCCTGCCTCTGTGCCCCAATTGTGCGGATTAAAGGTGTGCACCACCACCGCCCAGCCCCCACCACCCTTCTTAACAGGACAGTTTCTTTAGAGACTAGGCTACAGATAACACAGAAAGTCCTCTATAGGCTTGTAAGGCATGGAGATCTTCCTGCCTGTGTGTCCCAATTTTTGGTATTTTTTTTAAATCTAGGGTTTTTTTTTAAATATTTTTCTTAGTTACACAGTCTTTAAAAGCACGGACGTGATTTTCATATTTTACATCTTTCGTTTACTCTCTCGTTCCTTTGTGTGTCTTTCTTTCACTCTGTCTTTTTGCTTTTTCTTTTTTTAATTAATTAATTTATTTATTTATTAAAGATTTCTGTCTCTTCCCCACCGCCGCCTCCCCTTTCCCTCCCCCTCCCCCAATCAAGTCCCCCTCCCTCGTCAGCCCAGAGCAATCAGGGTTCCCTGCCCTGTGGGAAGTCCAAGGACCACCCACCTCCATCCAGGTCTAGTAAGGTGAGCATTCAAACTGCCTAAGCTCCCACAAAGCCAATGCGTGCAGTAGGATCAAAAAATTCATTGCCATTGTTCTTGAGTTCTCAGTAGTCCTCCTTGTCTGCTATGTTCAGCAAGTCCGGTTTTATCCCAGGCTTTTTCAGATCCAGGCCAGCTGGCCTTGGTGAGTTCCCGATAGAACATTGTATTAAAGGTGTTCACCACCACCGCCCGGCCCGTACCACCCTTCTTAACAGGACAGTCTCTCTAGCCACTAGGCTACAGATAACAGAAAGTCCCCTATAGGCTTGTAAGGCACTGCCACTTGTGAGGAGCGATAATGGAGTTTTAGACACTGAACCACCGACTGGCATTCAACAACTTGCAAGAAAACGGGGAACTCCACTCCTCTTACTGACTTCAAGCGGCCAGAATGAGCACCCAGGGTCTGGCAGAATTGCCCAGCCCTGGCAGAGACCTTCAATTCAGGCTGAAGTAACACCAGGTTGTGCAAAAGCGGTTAGCCTGAGCCTGCCCAGGATCGGTAAACTAATACATTCGTTTGGTTTAAAGCCATCGAGAGTGTGCTAGTTAGTTATACGGAAACAGAAAACTAATACCTGTTCCTTGCACATGAGCACGTTAAATCTTAGGTGAATAGAACAGGGAGACTGAGGCAGGAGGGCTGGACTCCTAAGTGCCAGGCTGCACAGGAAGATAGCCTTTAAAAAGGAAGCATGCTAGAGGATGGGAGATTATTGCAATAAAGCATAAATTGTTTTAGCCACTGAAATGTAAGAAGGCCTAGAATTCATCTGGGTTCTTGTTCCCATTCAGCTTCCAGCTAGGCAAGTCTGGAGTAGGGCTCCCGATTCTGCACCCAGGAGAAAGACCGCTGATGCCAGTGCCCGACTTCTACTGACTGTGCACCCATCAGATGTTCCTACTTATTGATTCCTCCCCGAGATCCCCATTATGACGAAGAGAGTTTAAGAGCCTGGGCCCCATGTCTTCTTCTTCCCTCCTGGCTCACCACTGTCTGCCCAGCTCTGTCTTCTGGGTAGGCGGGTCCTAGTCCTGTCCCCTCGAGCCTCCAGCAGCCCCTCCTTCCGGACACAGCTAACCTTGACAAGAGCTGTCAGCCCCTGACCCTCAGAGAATCATATCCCCACCACACCCCACCACACCCCGACCGCCATGAAACCCAGACCCCCAGACCTGGAACCCGGACCTGCTGCTTGCTGAGAACAGCAGAACTGCTCTGCAGGAACCCAGAGAGGACAATGGAGAGAGAGGATGGATGCTCCAGGGAGACCTGGGCTCTGCTACCTCCTCAAAGAGGAAGCTTCCAAGCCACCAGGCTGCCTTTTATGCCTGAAGAATAGTTTCAGTTTCCGTTCTCCGCCCAGAAGCCTAAATTTTTGATTTCCACTCTTCACCAATCCTATTGGAGAAGCCAACTTGGGAAATGCAGCATTTAGCATACTTCTATAAAGTCAGGACTGTCAGACAGGGAAAACTGAGGCTTTGGGACTCTTGAGGTAAGTGTGGAGAGAACCCTGACAGAGAAATCTGAGGATGTCTAGGCAATGCAACAGTGGAGAGGCCAAAGAAGCAGAAGACCAGGTGTGGTGGGTGCCCTCTGCCCCCACCGGTAAGCTAAAGGCATTAAAGGGGAAGCAGGAAGGAACTTGAGAACGCTTGAGTTTATTACTGAAGCCTGTGATTAATCTGTGTGGGATCTTCTTCAACCAATAAACACCACTAAACAGACTGAAATTGGAATCTAGTTATTTTTATTTCTGCCTTGATTTTTTTCTTCCTTCTGTCCCTCAGTCCTTCTCTCCCTCCCTCCCTGTAAGCTAATGTAGTAGGAAAAACATAACTTACTTGCTCGTAACAAAACTAACACACTCTTACAACAAAGGAGGCTACTATGAGCTCAGTGATCTGAGGATATCCTTGTATTTATTATATTGTTACCACAATTTTACAAGATGGGTACTTCTGGGTTGCTTTATATATGAGATAAATGAGAATTAAAGTGATATTAAGGCAATAAGTGGTGCTAAGATTCCAAACTTGACATAATTCAAAACTTTGTTTACAGGATTTGCAATTACCTGAACTGACAAATGCTTTTCATTCTAGAACTGAAATTTCTTCAAGCTAATAGAGCAATTATTTTATTTTTATTTATTTTTTGATTAAACTTGTATGCTGTTGTTATCCTTTCGGGTTTTCTTCGTGGGCATTTGGGGTCAGCAAGTGCTGTTTATCCCATGGTTGTTTTGACTTTTAGTGACTTCAGATTTGTCAGGTGGGAACTTAGTAAACTTTTATTCATACCCTTCAGTTTTCTAGTCCTAGTATTCTTTTTGTGACTTTAATAACATGTCATACCCTGGGTAATTTATAAGAAATTAACTATATTTATTATAGTTTTCAAAACTTTAGCCTCTTTGAATTCTTGAGTGTTTGTCTAGTCAGGGTGAACTTCCTTAGCTAACATTTCAACCTTCCTCTGCTTAACAGAGTCAACCATTTCTGCCTTATGTCTTCTCTCTATAATTACCTACATTTTGATACTCCAAATAAGTCCATTTTCAATACCTGACCATTAAGGGAAATGACCAGATTTGTATGCCATCAAATTAATTATTCATAAATACCACAGGCAAGTGTCTAAAAAAGGTTCCATATATGTGATCTGTAAAACCGTTGTGCAGGGTTATCTAGTCCATAAGCAATCAATGTCCCTCAAGAAGATGTAGTACTTGGCTGACTAAGGTCCTATTTTGTATCAGAAATCCATGACCAAGTTCTGTTGTATTTCAGTGAGTCCTCAGAGCATTTCCGTGACAGATTCTCTGAAGGCACTAACTGCAGTGCTCACTGGTTTCAGTTTAGTCATTTTTCATTACATTTGATTGGACAGGGCCTCATGTAAGGTGAACTGTTTTACAACTGGTGTAAGAAAAATAAGATTTGCAAAGATGGAGCATAATTTCTCCAAGCCTCAAACAACTAGACAGTGCTTGACTTCTGTACTATGGGTGCCAAGACAGACAACAGTTAGATCTTGAGGACAGCAGAAATGAAGCTGCCCTTCTCGCCAGCAAATGACTCTCAGAGATTTAGCTAGTGTGACAGGACCTTGCACCTATGTGTTGTGCTGGTTAGTTTTATATCAACTTGACACAATCTGAGAGGAGGGAACTTCAACTGAGAAAATGCCCCCAGAAGACCTGGCTCCAGGAAAACTTAACAGTGAATGTTCTTAATCAGAGATGGATGGGGGAGGGCCCAGCCCACTGTGGGTAGTGCCACCCCTGGGCTGGAATTCCGGGGTCTTACAAGAAAGCAGGTTGGGCAAGCCATGAGGAACAGGCCAGTCAGTCAAACTCTTTCATCACCTCTGCATCAGTTCCTGTCTCCAGGTTCCTACTCTGACTGCCTTCAATAATAACTTGCTTTTAGACAAAGTGAAATAAACCCTTTTTCTCTCGAAGTTGTTTTGCTCAGACTGTTCCATCACAGCAGCTGAAACCCCAGCTAAGACATGTGTGAAACTACAGACACTTTTAAGTGTGTTTGGAGATACTCATGTGTCCTCTAAGGATGTTTCCAACTAAGGCTGTTAAACGAGGAAGTCATTGGGGCAATATCGTTATGCGCACATACAGGGAAGGGTGGATCCGATGATTTTGCCTGAGCATCCGGGTACGATAACAGGTTGCTGAATATCTGCTAAAGGTGCTTTGTGTTCCTTCAGAGGTAGCAGACCACACCCTGGATGGTTCCGAAACCCCGACTAGAGATGGCAAGTGAATGAAAGGACAGACACAGAAACAGGTGCAGAATCCAGAACACAGAATGTTTATTAGGTGTATTACAGGGTTATTCCTCTGTCTTAGTGGGTTGGTAGGAGGTCTCTGAAGGTGAGCAATCTCGGCTGTAAACTAGAAGGAGGAAACTGCAGTTGTAAATTTTGCACTCACTCGTCAATTGTTTGTCAACACTACCACTTGCACACACTGTCCACATTCACACTCAGACCAGAGGAAGATACTGTCATCCCTCTGAGCCTGAGCCAGTCAGTGCTTTGCCATTCTCTTGGGTCTGAGACAGTGGTCTTTGATATGGTTGTCCCAATGTGAGCATAACACATTCACTCAAGACTTTGCTCTATACCCATTTATTCAAGGCCCCCTTAGCTCCCTATACAGATAAGATAAACTGAAACAGAGATACAGTTAATGTGTTAGTCAAATATATAATAACAAGTTTCTCATAGTTTTGAAGGTCTTGTAGTACTGTTTCATGATGTCAGCATCTGGCAAGACATCTGATCATACAGAACAATATTCTTCATACAGAAGAATACTGGGGTATTAGACATAAGGACTTATGGTCCATGCTAAGTTAAAGTGGTAACAGTGCACTGTGAAGAACAACTGTTCTCTGCACATTCAGAGCATGGCAAATTAAACCATTGAATAAAGATACTGTGAGACCAACCACTTCTGATCACTAGGTCTGTAATCCCTGAAGAGCTTAATAACATCCTACCATATTGTTTTGCATTTGCATGTTTTCTGACTTTGAACTGATTGTCATTTCAGGAGCTTATCCTGCATGTGCTGTTATTAAAATAAAAAGTTTAATATTATTTAATCTGCATCTGTAACAAGTTTGGAGAAAGTCAAGTAGTCCCGTGTGTGGTTCAAATGAAGATATTTCAACATCTTTACTTCCACAGAGACCCCATGTTGTACAAAATTTGTGTAGATTTTAATGGTGTAGTCATAACTTCAATATTCAACTTAAAAATCAGAAACAAAAGTCCCAGTATATTCGTATGTGTTCCTAAGGAGAGGCTGTTGTGTGGACACTTTATTTGCTTTCCTTTCTTCCTGAAGAAACAAATAAAATGCTTCCTTGTTTAAGAAGCAATGCATTTAAACTATGCCACCAAAGTGTATGTAAAGTTAGAACAGTGACAGTGGGTCTGGAATGTTTCTGCCACAGGCTCTTCTGACACCTGTTGACCAGTTACTCAGAGGAAACTTGGGAGCTGAAGATGCTTATATTCTGTGGACATTCCTTCCCAAAATAGTTTTTATCAAATCACTATTCCAAAAGAAGCAGCAGGATGGGCGGACTCCTGACTGGAAGGCTCAGCAACTGTCCCTAATTGATGGCATTGTCAGTGATTAAATCCTTTTTGGGTCCAACAGCTGATTTTCTCCTTTGTTCTGCTCTTCCTTTCTGCTTCCCTAGGGAATGGCAGTCCATACATCCCAGGCCACTTCCTTGAAGCAGTCACTGAGTGACCATACAGCTGTCTGCAGTTGTCTGATAGAGAACACGATGTTCAAGAGTTAAGCAATCCCTCATCAAGTCCATCCATGAGGTGGGAGAGAAGAAAACTGAAAAAGAAATAAAACTGTAAGATTTAAGTCAAACAAATATCAAAGCCTCTTCTAAATATCCATTTGTCTTTCTAGATTTATTCTACTTCTCTACTAATAAAGAAAGAAAGAAAAAGAAAATCAAAATATCTCATTCAATCATTCATTACTTTTATATCCACTCAATTTTAAATATTAAAACTTCAGCCATATAAATGGTGCCAATGTTATTAAGTAATGCCTTCATTCTGTAAGTGAGGAACCTGCCTGACATCATTTTTACTTTTTCTTTAAAAAGAAAAAAAGGTTTCTATTTACTTTGAGACTTAAAATGTTCTCTGTTTTTTGGAACCTGACCTTCCCAAAGCCATACCGTTGGTTTGCTTTTGAGAATACCCTTACCATCTCTGACCTTGCCTGACCTTTCCCTAATCACCTGGTGGGTGACCATATGATGTTTTTAAAGATACGTTTTTATTTTCTTATTGCTTCATATCGTCTCCCTGTGTAAGACTACTCAGGATTTTACTTCTTATAATGTAGGGGTCAGAGATGGATTCGGAACTGCTCTCTTTAGCCTGATTAGGAGGCAGCAGCAGGGCAGCACTGGGGTCACCCCAATAAAAATCAAACTTGCTGAAAATTCACTAAAATTGTACTAGTAGTCTTCTCCCCACCATTGGGATTACCAAGCCTCTTTGTGTGCATCTTGGCCTGTGAGCTTCCAATAAATTGTTCTCTCTCCACCTCCTTTCTTGTTGTGGGGGTGCTGAAGAGTATGGCCCATCTTGTCTGACTTTTACATGGGTTCTGGAATCCTAAACTCTACAGAAGTCATGTTAATCCCACCAGACAAGGATAAGACCACTACCACAATGTGAGCCAAATTTGACTTAAGTTTGACTTTCTTTGGGGTGTACCTGAGAGCTGGTTAGCCACTGCCTCCTAAGTCTGGTTAGAGAGAGAGCAGCCCTGGGTCTCATTCATGGGGACCTTTTAAGGAGTAAAATCATGAGTAGTTGTAAAGCAGGTTTATAGAAGACAATGGAACAGAAAGTAAAGAAAAACCTCAGAAAACAAAACAAAACAAAGAAGCACTCAAAAAAAAAAAAAAAACTAAATAACACCCATCACCATATGGTCATATGTAATTAGGAAATTGGGAGATAGATGCTGGATTATTATTATATAGAAAATCACCCTCTTCATAGGTTTATCTGGTTATTGTCAGAACATGGTTCATGAATGAAACTGTGTGAAAATTTCTGAGAGATTATAAGAAAAGCCATCGTGTAAATGCACCACATTTTCTCTATTCATTCTTCAGCTGTTTCCATGTTCTGGTTATTATGAATAAGGCTGCTATGAACACAGCTAAGCACAACTGGGGAGCCTACATGGGACCAAACAAGGCCCTCTGCATATAAGTAATAGTTGTGTAGCCTGGTCTGTTTCTAGGGCCCCTGACAGGGTGACCAAGATCTATCCCTGGTGCATGAGCTGGCTTTTTAGAGCCCATTCCATATGCTTGAATGTCTTGCTCATCCTTGATGTGGGGAGACAAGGGGGAGGGGTTCGTCCTCCCTTAACTGAATGTGCAAGTCTTTGTTGACTCCCCATGGAACACCTTACTTTTTGGAAGGAGGGTATAGAAGGCACGGAGATATGAGAGGAGATGAGGTAAATGGAAGAAGCAGGAGAGGAAATGGTGATTGCTATAAAAAAATGAATAAAAAATGTTTTAAAAGAAGTGTATAGCACTTAAAAATAAATAAACAAAAAGAAAACTCCAAGTAAACAAGCAAGAGTCTTGTAAGAGTCTGTTCCATATAATTTGGGTTGTTTTTGGAAAGTGCTTCTGTGCTCCTCTCGGGTGTAAATAGGGTGGAGTGTGCTTTATAGTACCCATCATCATACTGCCGTTGTTCAAAGATGTTTCCAAGCATGAGTTGTCCTCCCAAGTGTGTGCAGATTAAACTCCTGTGAACCAGCCCTTGTGACTGTATACAGCTCGAACTCAAGTGAACTTTGCTCATATGATTTAGCTTAACCCTCAGAATATTCTCAGAAGGTAAATTGTCTGGTTCCCTGAATACAGATGGCTATTGCATGAGGCTTTAGTCTGCCTCATCTTTAGGCTCCATTGTCCCAGGTTCAGGATAACTATATCAGTAACAGGGTAGAAAACAAAAGGAAATAAAATGATTCCTAATGGTATTCTATTCTTCTCATAAATCAGTGCTTAGCCCAATCAGCATCAGAGAGGCTTCCCCCAGCAGCTGATGAAGACAGATGCAGAGACCCACAGCAAAACACTAGGCAGAGAGAGGACCCAAGTTGGAGACCTCCATCAGGTCCCTCCCCTTTGAGCTCAGGGAATCATACAGAAGGAAGGGAGGAAGAATTATAGAAGGGGTCAAAGACACCAGAAGAACACAGCTCACAAAATCAAATAAACAGGGCTCAAGGGCATCACAGAGACTAAGGCTCCAGCCATGGAGCCTGCATGGGTTTGCATTGGGTTCTCTGCAAATATGTTATGGTTGTTAGTTTGGTGTTTTCATAGGGATGCTATCAGTGGGAATGAGGTTGTCTCTGACTCTTTTGCCTGTTCTTGGGACTTTTCCACCTACCATGTTACCTGGCCTAGTCCTGATATGAGGGTTGTACTTTGTCTTATTGTATCTTATTATGGTGTATTTAGTTGATATCTCCAGAATCTAAAGGGAACCAGAGACGGCATAGATCTGGGAGAGAGGGGGAGGAGTATATGTTTTGGGGTGGGGACTGGAAGGAGTAGAGGGAGGGGAACATATAGTAGAGATGTATTGTATGAAAGAAGAATAAATAATGAATAAGAAAAAATAATTTTAAAAATCCCCGAAAGTTAAAGAACGAACTCTTTTGGTCAATTATCCACTGATAAAATTATTGAAAATCTTTCCAAACTATTTCAATTGTAAATGAAGAGGAAAAAATTATTCAGTCAATAAATGTTTGTTCACATTCCCTAGAAACAGGGATTTCTTACCTAACACCAAAACCAGCTCAAATTCAAATTTAGAAAATGAGAAATTAATAAATCCACCTTTATGTAGTAATCTTTCCCATTCTCCAGTCATTTACTAGGTGTCTTCAAATAAATTATTTGAAACAAAACAAAATACAACAACAAAAACCAATAGACCAGCAAGATGACTTGATAGGTAAAAATACTTGAGACCAAGTCTGACAACTGAACTCAATCTACAAGTTCCACGTGGTAGAGGAAGAAAACTGACTCCTGCAAATTATGCTCTTACCTCCAGTGTGCAAGCACAAATATTCATGCACATGCTAAATAGTTCAAAATGGAAATATAATAAATTTTGAAGCAATAAGGACTCACATTTTTGTCTGTGGATGTGACTCAGATATAAAAGTGTTCCTAACACCACAAGGCCAAAGTTCAATACCAACATCATCTTGATCAGACTTCAACTGTTCAAGTAAAGGCAGAATAGCAGGTGCAGGCCACACCAGTCAGAAGCACCAAAGGCCAAACTAACCTCTAGAAGGCCACTCTCGATTAAACCAGGGGTTACACCAGGCCACAAAGACTAGAAAACCAAAGAGGAATCAGAAGTAAGCAACAAAACACCCATCCAACAAACACAAACTCAGAGATAGAGGACTAGAATTAATCATCCCAAACCTATATGTCTAAATGCCAGTGTAAAAATACAATTAATATCAGCCATGGTGATATAGTACACCAGAGCCAAACTATACTTCAACAGTAAGATATGAACATCCTAACACGTTGAAGCACAAGAAAATGACCTTAAAAACAACTTTAGGAAGATGAGAGGGGTCCTAAAAGAGGAAGTGAAAAACTTCCCTAAGGAAATTGAGAAAACAACAAAATAGAGGAAATTGACAAATCCCTTAAAATTGCCAAGAAAGGCAAGAAAAAAAAATGAACAAACAAGTGAAGAAAACTATTCATGACAAGAAACTCTAAATAGAGACAAAAAGAAAACACCGCTGGGAGAATTCAGGAAATGTAAACTCTGGGTAAGCTACAGGAACCATAGACACAAGCATCACCAACAGAATACAAGAGGTGGAAGAGAAAAATCTCAGGAGTTGAAGATACAATAAAAAATAATTTTTTTGGCCTAAGAAAATGTTAAACCAAAAAAAAATCTTAATACAAAACATCCAGGAAATCTGGAACACCATGAGATTATCAAACCTAAGAATAATTGGAATGGAAGAAAAAGAATCTCAGCTAGAAAACCTTGAAAATATATTTAACAAAATCATAGAAGAAAATTTACCTAACTTAAAGGAGGACGTGCTTATAAAGGTACAAGATGATTACAGAGCACCGAATAATTTGGATCAGATAAAAATCAAAAACTAAACATACTGAACAAAAAAATAATATTAAAAGTTGCAAGGGGAAAAGACAAAGTAACATACAACAACAGACCTACAGGACAAAATTTGTCCTTAGACCCAAATTTTGAAATCAAGATACCTTTAAAGTCGATATGTTGGCTTGGCTTAGCAGTCCCCAAAATCTAATGTCTCTCTGCAGTCAAAAATTCAAAGAAAATATAATAATATACATAATTCAGACTCTCTGTGTATTTTTCATCCTTATGTGACTTATTTATCCTACTCCTTTTAATCTATGATTGTCTGTACTCTGTCTCTTTAAAGACTTTGTTTTATTTCTCAAAACTCATTTACTTCTTTTTATAACTGTCTATACTTATTTCTTCTCTCTTTCAAGTCTCTGTACATTTATCTAACAATGTGACCCATTTAGAGGTCTTTTCCATTTGAAGTTGTCTTTAATGAGTATCTGTAATCATTTTCTGACCAATAGCTCCTCTTCTTTT